TTCCTTATTTTACTGGCCATATATTATCAACCTTCATTGCTTAGCTGATAGTTAAATTAAATACATTTTTAATAACTAGATTTCTGATTGATTATAAATTAAATTCGCCAGAACTTTTGATAGGGGTGATCTGCAAGGATAAAAGTATGATTTATAATGTTAAGAATAATAGAAAGAACTTGAAGAAGACAAACTGCTGTCTGATATGGAATGTGCTGGCACCTTGAATAAAATTAACTATGTCTCTTATGGCCTAGGTTTGTATAATTTGACTGCAGCACAGCTTGCAATAATCTGTCATGCATGACCGAAGGACTATTGAAATGAAATATAATTTAAATGCTCATAAAACTAATGTTATTCAATGCTTCATGGGAATTTATTTATTTTTCTCTGCGTTTGCTATAGGCTATCGGACGCTCGGGTTAGTGCCGATTTTCTAAAATGTTTTGAGTATTCGTTATCTTTAACCTAAACAATTAGACTGCTAATGTATTTCTTTACAACAAACCGTAAGCTTACTTTCGAAAGAACTAAAAATATCCTAACTCTGCTTCCATATTGCCGATTTAGTAATACTTATTATTAAATAAAATTTAATCTTCCATTTCTGCTTCCTTCTGTACCTTTCCCTCTATCATTAGTGCTCGATCAGCATAAGTCAAGACTCTGAAATCATAATTTTATTACGACAATTGAATTGTTTTCAATTATATTGAATAAATCTGTCTCTGGCCTGCATGAACGAGCTCGCATTCACATTCCTTGTGGTCCCAATATTTGTTATGAGATTCTTATCATATTTACAGATTGCGAAGCAGACTAGATCTCCTGGAAGGGATGAAGCAAAGCAGTTTCTGAGTATATGAATACCACTTTAATGTTAAAAGCGTTGATGAATTTCCTTGCTTTCCTCATTTTTATTTGCCCCTAAAGTTTAATTTTGCCTTTTCACGGCTACCATTGTCTGCATCCTTCACGGCGGTAATAACGGCCAAACAAGATCTTGCGAAAGGCATTTCTGTATTCAGGAGAAAAAATAGTATAAATGATTGGATTAAGTAGTGAATTGGCATATCCTAACCATAAAAGCACACTTTCCCCAGTCCTACTGAACAAACGCTGGCCGGCAAGCATTGGCTGAGCAAGCTCTTTGATGAAGAATGGCAACCAGCAGAGAATAAAGCAGCCAGTAATAATGGCCAATGTTCCTGCAGCCTTACGCTCTCGTTGGGCTTCCAAACGGTCGCGATCGCGAGCTGCGATTGAGGCAGCTGCTGCTGCCGTGAGCGTCACACCTGCCACAGTCGGCCTAAGCTGTTCATACAAATGTTCTATCCGACTTGCCTGGTTGTGCCGTGCCAGCCAGCGCTTCGCTCCCATTCGGATTGTGGCTACAAAACTTGGAGATCCAGAAGACCGCCATATACTGGCGGCCGGTGGCTCAACAGTTCTGCAGTCTTTAATCTCCCTTTGCGTTGCAGCGCTTTGTGCGGCAACTCCGTTTATGTCCGTCTCCTCAACAGGTTTGATGTACTTGCAGCTTTTCTTCCCTGTTGACTTGGCAGTTATAGGTCTTCTGCGAAAAAATCTGTGAACAGAGAGTCTATGTAGCCTTTTCTCTGAATATGGTCTCCTTGGTTTCACGCCCACATTTATTGGAGCACCATTTTTCATCGACCTGGCAAGACCTGGCCGTTGATCATTGTGTCTGCTTTCTATGTGCCTATCATGGGGCCGATTTTGAGATAGTTTATTTAGGCACTTTTTACCTAAAGGCCAATAACTTCGGTACCTGGATTCCTGTACAAACCGGGCAGATGCATAAGGAGAGGAGGAGGCTGAGGATGCGTGAAAAGTTGATGACCTAGGAGTGCCTGAAGCAAAGGAAGAATGAGAGGATGATGTAGATACTGGTGAAGAGGGAGAAGAAGAAGAAGACGAAGAAGAGGAATTCAGCCTGCTTGATGGGAAATTTGTATTGGAGCAAGACCAATTGGATGAATATGAGGCATTTAATTTGAGTGTACAGCAACAGCCTTTTCTCCTCTGACAATTTGGAGGACCTCTTTCTAGTTCCAAGTTTGGATAAAAGTATCCATGCGACCTGTGCAGACTGCTTTTTATCACCCCACATTGTTGTACTCCTAGTTGGCTGCAGACGGAGGCATTACTTGCTGAAATCCCTTCATATACATCTCTATTAAGAAAAGAAGCTGTGATCTTCTCATTAATAGATTGTATGGCCAGGGTGTTTGCTCGTTTAAAGCCGCGTATATGAGTATCAAATATTCTTCCTGTAAGGCATACAGGAGCTCTGCTACTTAAAGATCGAAAAAGCTCAACAGATTGTGGATTATTATCCGAACACATGAACGAATTTGTTGACAAAAACTCGCAACTTCGTGTATACCCTGCCTGCAGGTGAGTAAATTGTGTTCTTGACTCGGCTTGATTATTTTTAGTAAGTAGATCTTGATTAGTTTGCTGTCGCATGTCATTGCTCTGCGCTGCCTCTTTTACTGTTGAGAACAGAGGAAGGTTCAATAGACGTTGATTTCTTCGTCGAGTTGAATTTAGATGATCTTCGACACTGCTCTTGCAGCAGATACTCCTGCCTCCATCATGACTATCGATAGCAGCCACTTTTTTTCCAATTGCGTTTGGCCTGTTTTGGATTTCAGCAGGTTGTGCGGAGGTCAGCCCCACC